AAAAAAAAAAAAAAAAAAAAAAAAAAAAAAAAAAAGCCGAAAAACCAAAACACACAAACGAACTGACAAAGACCCTAATACAGGAAGCCTGGTGGTTGTTGTTTGATTTTGTTTTACTTAATAAATGCAATTGGAAAATGCTGTGGATTAGGAGAATAATGCGATGTCAATTTTAAATGGGATGTAAATAAGTCATTTAGTCGAGTCAACATTTTAAAACAAACTGAGTCTACTTTTTCAGGTGCAATTTAGCAAGAAATACAAGCAGGTGCTAAGTGTTTAGACATACCTGGACTTGTAAATCATGCAGTTCTTTGACCTGTCTGATGCATGTTCTTTGTCATCAGCTTTTTCTGTCTTCATATAGTTCATGAAGCTTTGCTTTTTACGAACATGCTTTCTTGATAAATTAATCTCTTTTATACTTGTGAAGGAATATGTCTCCTGCAGTTGAAGGCTTTGACTTCTGTTTGTAGTTTTTGAAACTGTACACCTTAGAATAACTTGGTAGTACTAACTTGGTCTATGCAGAGCGTGATGTAGAATTCAGAAAAACGTGCATCAAATATATTTGCGATACCTGATCTTTGTAAGCCTGTTTCACTTGTTGTTTCTTCACCCTGGGTATTTTATTTTTTATTTCAAGGAAAGAAAATGAGGAATAGTAGGGAAATTGTGAGACAGCTATTTGCCTATACAGCTACTCTCATTGTCAACTTCCAAAGCATGGACCGTCTAATGCCTGTTGTGCTTCATTTGTGCTAAGCCTCAGTAGAAGTTTGTGTAACCCAGTATCTTGTCCCCAAGAGTGGTCAGAGGTGCTTGAAGAAGTGATTCAGTAAAATGTTCTCTCTGTGATAATTTTTTTACTTCAGCGGGGTAGGTGCTTCTGAGTCAACATTTGCAATGAAAAAGTTGCTGTATTTGAAGAAAGTAGTACCTTAGAGGAGGAGGAATGGTATTTGTCCTATTAGGATTACTTCAAATAAGATTTCAGATAAGATATCTTCAGATAAGATGGGATTTGCTGTACCTGTCTCTGAACTGGGCAGAGGCTTCCAATTCTGTCCTGTTAAACCAACCATGGGAGAGATTTCTGGATAGACTTACATTAGTTGAAAAGCATTGCTTCCTCGGGAGAGAGAATCAGCCTTAAGGTGTTCTGGTCTGTCTTCTGTTAAGTCATAGTCTTTAGGGAGCAGAGATGAGATTAGTGTTTTTGTAAACTTCTCCAAACCTGACTGTTCCTCACAGAGAGATGATGTCTCTCCTGAGCCTCAAAGGAAGTGTGGATCCTTCATGGACATAACATTCAGCTCTTATGAACAGTAAGCAGTAACATGCCACTTTGAGTTGCTTCAGGAAAGCATATTTTGTAGCTTTTTCAAACTGCAAAGGTTAGAAATCCTTTTTTTTTTTTTTTTTTTTTTTTTTTCCTTTTCCTCTCCAGAGTCCATCTCTACACAACTTTAAAATAAAGTGAAAAAGTGAGTCCTATTTAAAGGTCCTGTTTAGTGGATATGACTTCTTTCAGTCCAGTCTGATTTTTTTCTTCTGACTTGTGCTGTTTTTGGACTTAGTGTTGAGTATTAGTACTTCTACTAACTCTTGGTTGGTCTGTTTGCTTGTCTTTGTACAGAGAATATTCCTGGATGCTTATCAGTGCATGACATGAAAAAAGAAGGGGGATAAGTTTGTGTTTTGTATTAGGATAACTTTCCTGTGAATTCTTTAAGCTCCGTAAAAGCCTTTTCTTTTTTTCCACTCTTTTATTGAAATTGCTTGAATTGTCAATTTTACAGTATTTCTGGACATCTTGGAAAATTCCTTGTGAAAAGGGTGCAGGGATTGAATTTAATAATGTAGGTCAGTGGAAAGAGTCCTAAGATTGCTCTGGTGTTTTGCAGCTTCCAGCTTTAGAATCCTGTGGGTGAGACTGTATCAAAAATCAACTGCAGTTGCCTGCTTTTTTTGTGTGTGGAGGAACGGTCCAGAATATCTAAAAAGATGTTTTTTGTCTTCTAGAATAAATGTTACTGGTAGGAAGCTCCAGAAAGACACAAACTCAGTTGATTGTTGACCAGTATCAGCTTTTTCCATAGCCTCTTCATAGTGTTCTTCTTTTTTTTCCTAACCCCCATTTGATGTTGATGTTTTATGTCAAGATCCTCCTGCCGCTATTCAGCGATTGTTCTCTCTCCGGATATGAAAGTTAGCACACTTTGCTGGAACAGCTGTTGTTTTTTTAAATCTTTCTTTCAATTTCATCTCTTTCCTGTTGTGGCTTTCTCTTGACCTTATGCAAGAGGTGGGAAATTGTGCACATACAAAAAGAGATATGATTAACAGACTATTAAAGCTTGAGAGGAAGTGCAATTACCTACCAGTGCTCAAAAGGTGCTCATCTTCTGTAGGGTCAATTTTAAGGGTGTTCTTTAGATACAGAAGAGCAGCTGCTAGAAAGCAGAATGTAAATCACAAACACTTTTGCTTTCTTTCTCTCTTTTTTTCAGTTATTTTATTTTTATCAGTGCCAGTGTTAGAACACCAGAAAATAATCTGTTTTTAATAATCTGTTTTAACCATTCCCTCCGTATAATTTGACAGTAACTGAGTGGCTTGACTCAAAGACTAGCAGTAGTAAGGACTTGGTGTTCAGGTAACTGTTAGAGGAGTTATTCTTTGTACTAGAGATCTGTTTACAAAATGATAAGTTGACTCCTAAGATTTTATTTATTTATTTATTTATTTATTTATTTAGCATCTTGTTAAGTCTAGAAATAGCTGTTTTAGTTAAAGCTTGAAAAACAGGTAGTGTAATGTGAACTATAAAAATACAGCAATGCAGTGCAGTTCAGTACTCTTCATGACTAGGCTCCTGAATGGACTTAAATACTGCATTTTCAGGTGCAATAAATAAATACATCCAGTAATCGCATATTTGAATTTTGGCACAAGTTTTTGGAAGTTAAACATATTAATGGTGCTTCTTTTATTTACTAGATAATGTAGGATTAGATTTTGTGATTGCAGTCCAGTAAAGGCTGATGCACTTGACTAGCCATATGTTTGTGAGCTATGAAGAAGACTCCTTATGTGAAACAGTTAAGTCTGTAATCAAGGCATTAATGTGCAGCTTCAGTGAACACCAAGTATAAACATAAATCCTTTGTGTGTTGCTGAGGTTCCTGTTTGATAAGTGGGTTTTCAAGTACTTTTTCAACAAAATAATCTTGTGTATGCTATTACATTCACTGCCACAAAAGGAAATTCTGATTTTCAAAATAATCCTAGAAACAGATAAGGTGTAGGTGAGTTTTGTTTGCTTGTTTTGTTTTTGTTTTTAATAAAGGTATTACAGCAGTGATTTGTACTTACCCTCTTGATATGGTTAGAGTTCGTCTGGCATTCCAAGTAAAAGGGGAACACAAGTACATGGGAATTATCCATGCATTCAAGATGATTTACACAAAGGTATTTTTTCTTTTAATCTTCAGTCCTATGAAAGCAAAATATACTCTTTAAATGATGTTGCGCTGCACTGAAATTAATTACCTAGTGGAAAATGAGTTCACTGCGTGCGCACATTGAACTTAATGTAAAAAATTATCTGGATGCTTCCTTCTACTTAGGCTGCTAAGATGGAGCTAAGACTTATATAAGTGGGAGATGAAAACAAAGAAAAGTTGTTTTTCAGTAGCACATAGAAGTGTTACCAAAATATCTGGGGAGGAGGGATATGTGTAAGGCCAAAATGTCTCGGAGGTTATGATGCCGGATGCAGACTTTTTTTCATTTTCCCTTCTGTATCTCCTGTGGAGCTAGGTAGTTGTCCCATCAATTCTTCAGACACAAGAAATGCAACTTGGTTTTAGCTCCTTGTTGCTACATGATGCTAGTCAGATTGCTGTTGTGAATCTGTACAAACAGATGTGTAGTTTAAGATATTTATTGTATTTCTTGCCACAAATGTGAATGTATTTTTCTTTCAAAGGAAGGTGGTTTTAGTGGGTTCTACAGAGGGCTGATGCCAACTGTGGTAGGAATGGCTCCATATGCGGGTAAGTTAAAAACAGAACACAGAAATCCCTCAGCATTTATGTGCACTACTAAGTTTGCTTAATATATTTGCACATCAAATTAAGTAGCTTACATTAAAATGAAGGCTTTTGTATTTTACTGAAAGGAGAGCTAGAAGCATTTGTGGATGTTCAGTCTTTACCTAAATTGATCAGTGTGTGTTGAAGTCCCTTCAGTAGGCAAAATTTAGGTTTTCTTGAAATCAGGAGTGAAAGAGAGAAAGTAGTGGTTCTTTTGTCTGCTTCCCAGTTTTACCCCGCAAAAGGTGTGCAGGTTGTCTCTCCCACATAGATCCGTAAGAGGGCAGAGCCCTGTAGATAGTCGAGTCTTAGAGGCTCTCTATTGGCTCCATCTCCTGGTGACTTCTGTATAAATACTTAGCCAAGCTAAAGCAGTGGATGACGTGGGATGGAGGAACATCAGAAATGACTGCTGAAACTGCACTCATCTTTAGATGATGAGACTCGTTTTTTGGTTAAACAGATCTTAGGGGTTACTTTTAACAGCAAACCAGTAATTTGAAAGCCACAGTTGAGTTATTTAAAGCACTCTTAATGCTAATTATAACCAGTAACTAATTTGAACAGAAATTATGGTAAAGCTCTAAGTATTATTAATCTGTTTCTCTTACTTAAGAAAAACTTCTAATAGGATTGGAAAATAACTTATTTTTGTAATTGCAGCTTTTTGTTTATGATGATGATAAGTACATCAACAAATATTTTGCTCTGTTACGAAAGTACATAAAATTAAATTTCCTTTTAGGTTTTTCTTTTTTTACCTTTGGTACCTTAAAGAGCATTGGACTTGCTCAAGCACCTAACTTGCTTGGACGGCCTTCCTTAGATAATCCCGATGTCTTAGTTTTGAAAACACATATAAATCTGCTGTGTGGTGGCATAGCTGGAGCAATAGCTCAGACGATATCGTAAGTTTGGGTATTGATTGTTATTTTTTTTATATAGATATTTGTTCTAGAAAAAAGTGTTTTGTCTGAGAATATGATTTTTTAAAAATAAGTCTAGTGTCAATAAGGTTTTTTTTCAGTCAGACTGTGATTCAGTTATTTCATATCGTTTCACTTAATAAATATCTAATCCTTAGCAGCTGTAAAGATAAATGCACTGAGTCAATTAAAACAAACAGACAAAACTAAAATCAGCTGGAATCTTGTTTGGGATGCTATGAAATTTGGACCATTAACGTCATTTGCTTAACTGTATTATTCCAGTTTATTTTAAGATGGTATAACCTGCAAACTCTAAGAATTGGAAAAAGAAAGCCTAAGATATTGTGCTTGGCATTACTTTCTTATTACTTTGCCTGTTTCCTCCATTCTCATACTGTCCTTGCCATGTTTTCTTTTGGCCACAAATCAAATCGATCTGGTAGACTTCTGTGGCATCAGTTTTTCACTGAATCACTCACTGCATTACATTACATATGTAACATGCATTTTCTGTTAATCTTTAAACTGTTTATTGTGTTTTTGCTTCAGGCATCTTCTCCCTCCAGTGTTTTACAGACTGTTTTATACTCTCATCTGATCTTCATGTGTCTTCCTTACTTGTGCCAAATGGAATATATTAAGAGATCTGATTTGCTGGTTTTGGTTGTATAGAGGGAGTCTCCCTTTTTGGAGAACTTTCAGCTGTGTTGAGAATCTAAGCCGAATTCGTGACTTGTTGAAAAGGGAGATTGGAGTTTGTAGATGGACTCTTTATATATATATATATAAATTAAAAACAAACAACACAACAGTATTCGTATAGTCATCACTCATCTAGTTGAACTGCTGTTCAAATATCTCCTGTGTAGATATCCCCTTGATGTAACTCGCAGGCGAATGCAGTTAGGAGCAGTTCTCCCGGACTCTGAAAAGTGCCTGTAAGTATTTTCTTTTCACCTTCAGTAAATGAATTCTTTGATATCTGAGTGATGTTGCATTCTTGGTTTAAAAAAAAAGAGTTCCTGTGCTGTTGATTTCTTCATGCTTTTAGTGAGATGTGTTACGTTTCCACACAGTTGGACAAAAGCTGAGGTTCAAAAAGAAACACCAAAATTGAAGTACACTTTTGTGTTGCTACTAATACTGTATATGAAAAGATGTTATGTGCATTTTTACTCAACTAACTGATCCTTAGCATCACTAGGATTCCTGAGGGACAAACTACCTGCTTCTACTGAAACGATGCGTTGTTTCAAGGTATACTTTTAATGGTGCAGAATCTATTCTCAATATTATTTTATGCAATACTGCTTTATTTAACCTGCTTGATTAACCTCAATTACAGTAACATTGCACACACTGATTGTAGTTGGAGTTCCTACACTTTTTTAGTTACATGCGTGAGTCCAGTAGAGGATGAAGTATCATAATATTCTTAAAATCATAGTATTAAATTAGGCATCATGGTGGAAAACATTCTGAGCTTCAAACTGTTTTTCATTAGCAGAGTAAGGTTTTCCCCTTGACTGCTTTCTAGTCCAGGTGCTTCTAAAATAAGAATGTGCTAATTGTCCTTGGATTTTGCTTCCTGCATTTGTGAGAACTCACACTTTTACAATTAGACTTTCCCACTTAACAATTCTGTTATGATTGTTTGGAGAGAGTAGGATAGTAGCCATTTATCTTTAGAGGATGGTAGATTAATAGAAGAAGGAAACCTTGAAGTTTTGAAGCATATTGAAGATGTTTTCAAGGAGTAATAATTTTAATAGCTTGGAAATGTTGAGCATCTTACAGATTTTTACTCAAAGGCTTTGCATTTTAATGACTACTTGTTCAGTTTCAGTACAGGTATGTGAGAAAAATCTTCCTGCTTGCATAACTACTGCAAATTGTATTTCAAATAAGGTCAAATATCGTATTTCACACAAGTTGTTGCCTTTATCTCAAGAAGAAACAGTTTTTGCTTGGAGCAGGGAGGCTTACACATGTGAGTTATAGAATACAGAGCTAAACAGAAACTTTATCTGCAGAAATTTAATGTGTGATCCTGTGCTCAAACAAACAAAAAGAATGGGATGCAAAACCTGAATACTGATGATTAATGTAAGAAGTGTGCACTGCAGTGGGCAAATTTGTTTTTGTTAGGCCATATTACAAAGGAGTAATATTAAACTATTGTCGTCTTCTGTAAGACAAAAATGGTGCTTCTCAACTTCTTCCTGACAGATAGAGAATAATGTGTAGTCACCATTCTGGTATAAAAGTTCTGATTATGTCTTTTAGGGCAGATTATTTTTAGGCTGAAGCTTCTTTAGATGGAACTGCACCATCCTCTTTCCAGTTTCCAGCCTTTAAGCCCAGATTTCTGGCAGAAACTCAGTCTGTTTTATGAGTCCTAAAAGGATTGTCGTGCTCTGCTATATGGAGTCTCATGTTTTTCCATATGTCACTTTTAAGAACCAAGTAAAAGAACGTCTTATATTTAAGAAAGTGACTCTAACTATCGAATGTGTGTATTCAATAATGATCCAAGTTCCTGTTTTTCCAGTACAATGGTGCAGACACTGAAATACGTGTATCAACAACATGGAATACGAAGAGGACTGTACCGTGGTCTGTCACTGAATTACATTCGTTGTATCCCTTCCCAGGCTGTGGCTTTTACCACGTATGAACTTATGAAACAATTCTTGCGCCTCAACTGAACTTTTTTAAGCTTTAATGTAAAAGTTACGCTGGTGAATAAACTACTTGAAGTTAAATATATATTGTGGCACTGCTGTTGTCGGACAACTTAATTTTAATTGCCAAGATTTAATTAAATTGGAGTCAAACTAGGAGACAGATCATCATAAGCATTAGTTAGCGAGAAACATTTTTTGCACTTAATCTTATAGGCTTCATTAGATGAACCTTAAGAACTGCACAGTTTTAAAATTACACCCACATTTTATACAGGTTTCAAGCTGTTAGTTGTTTAGCTTTCTCACCATTCCAGGAGTTAAACACATGATTATATTGCTTTCTGAGCTACTCGACATCTGTTCTTCCTTAACATTTAAATTGATTAAATTTATTTGAATAAAATGGAACAGTTTTCTTATTCAACTACTTGCCAACTCTGTTGAAGATGGACTTGGTAGACCACAACTTAACCATTTTTTCTTTTTGCCTTTTGTACAAGTTTTCTGTATGTTAAGAACAAAGCATGTATCTTCGTGTGGGTATATATGGGAGTTTTTTCAGCCTCTTCAATAACAAATGATGAGATGTATTTAAAATCATTGCTAATCCTGCAATTTAGAAACCAGTTTCGTTGCATGCATTCTGTTCTTAAAAAAAAAAATAAAAATCTACACAAATAAAAATGGGAAACTTGTACAGTGGTAAGTGGTAGAAAAGATCTTAAGGCAGTTAGCATGTAATCTTACAAGGCATTTCTGTACCTTTTCTGTAGAGCTTAATGTTTTCAATTCAGTTTATTGAAGGCTTTGAGTACATGACGTACTTTGAAGGACTGGCTCTTGTAAACAGGTCTGCCCCTACCTTAAAATGTGGGACAAACAGGACTGCATGCTGCTGCACTTATGTATTTAGGCATATGGACCATTTAGGCACATGGAGAAGAAAATGAAGATTATATTACAGTCTGTATATGTGTGTATGTGTTATTTCTAAAGTATGGTATGCAACACATTATTATACTTTTTCTCCTTCAATTCCTTGTAGAGAAGTTGTCGTTCGGACTCATTTATACATAATTTGCATTGGTACTCCTGATTTTATTCACTTGAATTGGGAAGCTGTAAAGCATTTACTTATGTGATATAAGTTATTTATTTATTGCAGTATTTTTAGCAGTGTCCTTTAAGAGTTGGTAATGGTTGTATTAAATAAACTGGTGGATTATGTGATCAATTTACTTAATTTTGAAAAATCAGACTGGATTTTGAGTTATGTATCTCAAACCAAATGTTATGACTTTTTGTTTTTTTTCTGGTTTCTTAAAAGTATCTGTTTCTTTTATATTTAACAATACAGTTATGGGCAGAGAACAAGATGTATTTGAATTTATTTTATTAAAAATTTTGAATGAATATATTTGTATGATTTATGTGTGTGTAAAGCAGAATCCAGCATACTCACGCTTGAGAAGAAAGCAGCAGTAGAATGTGTCAGCAAAACAACTGAGTAGGATACTGAATGTGAAAAACAGCCCTACAGTGCTGTATCTTCAGCATTACTTTTTCAAAACAGAGCTTACAAGTGTGTTAATAATTCTACTTGAAAGTACTAAAATACTTCAGAAAGGTGTACGAAGGGAAAAAGGGAGCTGGAAGGGAGGAGATTTGTTTCTAATTTTTTTGGTAGATATTTCTAACCTTTTTTGAAAAGGTTGTTATTAAATATATTTCTTAATCAGAACACTATTTTGATTATCTGACTAATGTGTTCCATATGTGTGACTGGCTGTGTTCCCTGGTAGTCCATTTTACTATGACTTTGAAGTGCCTATTTTCTGCTTTTAAAATACTAATAAATACGCACATAATTTAAATATATTCTATATATGTAAGCTGTGAGAAGTTTTTTATTGCTATTGAAGAACATTTTCATTAGTCAAGATGCTGGATTTGAGTTCATCTTCCATTTAAATTGTCTCTCCTTGAGAAGGTGAGCTTACTTCTTTTGAACCGCTCTGTTACCACACTGAAGTTATCAGAATGTCAGCAATTAAATGTTAGGGAAGCTGGTGGTCATTAGTTCATGGTTTTATTTTCGATCTAGTTCTAGTTTTTTAGATTTCACAGCATAGCAATTGAACAGGTTTGTACACATCCTTTCTAGGAACTTTAGAAGTTATTATAAATTGATACAATTGCTTCAAAATCAATTTTAAAAGCTTTCTCTGTGTGGGGAAAAAACCCCACAAAATAACCATGTTAGAAAACATTTTTTGCAACTTCAAGATGTTTTTAGTGTAGTTTTTATTTGCAAGTGTAGATGATTATCCCAAATGTCAACTTTATTATACAGAGAGGCTTGAATGGAAGTGGATATAATTATTATTGTCATATTTCCTGAAAACCTGTTTCCTAGGAGTCTTGTAACTTTAGTTCTACCCAGTGAAACAGTTCCTTCTGTGAAGAATTGGTAATGCAGCCTTGGGTACTATTTTTTATTTTCTGTTCCAGCCATTCCAATATTATATATTCTGTTCTCAGCTATTTCCAATGTCCTTAGATATAGAAGTGGAAAAGGTCTCTCCATTTCAGAACTCCTTCAGGTCAGAATCTCTTATCCATACTATGTCCTGAAAATCTCAGATGATGGTTTGTTTCCAGTTATTAAACACTGTCTTTAAAATAGAGTTCAATTCCTTATCCTTACAATGGAAATTTCTGCTTGCTGTAATGGAGGCATTTGTTTATGCATTACGTATCTAGTTTGCAGTTACTTCACACAAAAACTTGTATTTGAATCTTCTTTTTAGACTGCTAAATTCCAGTGTCTGTATTGTTTTGTCTTATTACCTCTGCATAGGAATGTAGAGATAACCTTGCATTCTGCAGCCTCTATCACATGCACAAAGCAAAAAGCTCCTGTACAATAATCTGTTTTAATACTGTACTAAATTGTGTGCCTGTGTGTTTAAAAGAATTATTCCATTATGAATATTAGCAGTTCTGCAAGAGAAAGCTTATAAACATAAGCTATATGTACTTGAGGGTTACCCCTAAGAAAAGGGGCTCATTTATGTGCCATCTTACCCTTCAAACGTCAAGCTGGATCCTCCTGCTGGGTACCTGACCCCTGCTCATGTTGTCTTCCCAGGCTGGAGCACAGTCCTGTTTCTCAGTGTCTGGCTACATTAGGAATACAAGGCCAAACTCCAATTACTCCATTGTTATTTTTCCTGGCATTTTAAGTGCAGAATACTGATATATCGAGAGTAAACTTAATACCTGCGTTCTTTAGTCCTAGCTCGACTTGACAGGAGCAAAAACGGTTTCCTCAAGTAGTGCTCTTGTGACCAAAAAGAAGCAAAGGGGGCAACCGTGCGCGTCTGAGACTGCTGCATCGCCTCAGGGAGCTGCTGCTTGGTTGCACCGGCTCGTGTTTGTCATAAGGAAAGCTCAACTCCTGGGCTGAGGTTCATCCACAAACATTTGAGAGAGAAAAGCGCCTTTAATTCTACTTTTTCCCGCAGCCCCGTTGTGAGAAGCGCTGACCGCAGCCTGTTAGGCTTCCTCACAGCGCAGGCCGCCCGCACAGCTTCTGCTTTTCATCCCGCGCGCGGGAAGCTCGCGCCGCCCTCCGGCAAACTCCCATTGGTTGCTCTGCCTTCGTCCCCACCAATGATCGAGCTGGGGGTGGAGTCTCTGGGCAGGCGAGAGGGGCGGGCTGTGCTGCGCCTGCGCGGAGGTTGGCGCGGCGCGCGGGATTCGGTTGGGGTGCGCTGCGGGGCTGAGGTGAGGCTGGCTGCTGTGTAGCGGAGGTACTGCTGTGCTGGGCGGCGGGAGGGAGAAGGGAGAAGGCCTGCGTACAATTTAAAAAGCACGCTGTAGTCGTCTATTTATCCGCGCTGACACGCGTTCTAGCAGTGGAGGTGGGTTTGTGCCGGTCTGTTTCCTCGTCGAGCACTGCGGTAGGTTTGGCAGCGTTAACTGTGCTTTCAGAAGACGATGACCGAGCCCTGTAACGCGGCGCTCAGGAGCGGGCTGAACAACAGGTACCGCGTGTTGGAGGTCCGCCTGGTGCGGCGGGAGGGACGCGACCCTGAGAAGCACCTGGCGGTCAGCGCTTCCACATCGCCGGGAGATACGGAGCTGTGCGTCCTTCAGAACAGCTGGTGAGCGGTGCTTTGAGATTCTGCTGAGCTTCTGAAGCAGTTTAAGCTCTTAAATATAAGGAGATGTTATAAGCATCAAGTATAGCATGCCGGTGTAAAATATATCGGTTCTAAAATGGCTGAAAGGATAAATCTGTAATGACTAATCTGGAATGATTTGAAGTCATCAGGATTTCTCTTCATGTGGATTTGATCCGTGACCTAGTGCTCAGAATTAAAGTTTTGTCAGTAAAAAGCTCATAGTAACCTCAGGTTTTGAAGTATGTTCAATCTGTTAATTTCTTACATGTGGTATCCTGTGCTTGCAAATTGTTGTTGGAATGTTTTGCTTTACAGGGAGTCTGTTCCAGTTGTTCCAGGAGACATTGTTCATTTAGAAGGGGACTGTAGCTCTGGTACCTGGATAATAAATGAGCAGTCTGGATATCTCATTCTTTACCCAGATTTGCTGCTCTCTGGCACTACGATATCCAGTAGCATTCGATGTATGAGAAAAGCAGTGCTGAGTGAAAGGTTTAGGGTAAGTGTTAAAACACCTGATGTTGTATCATTAATAAGTTAATGTTTCAGCTGAGAATGGTGGCTTAGCTCAATACTAAAACTGTTTGAAACGTGATATTGTAAAATGTCAGTAGCTAGTCATAACGTTTACAGAAAAAGAGCAATTCAGAGGGAAAACTTGCTTTTTGGGCTACTTTTTTTTCTTTTTTTGTTATGTTTGTTTTTCAGAATTTCAGTTGAAATTATTCTGAGTTGTTAATACAGAAAGTGGGGACAAAAATAAGCTTCTCACTCTAGTTTTCTGGCAACTTCTTTTATACTCTTCTTGTTCCTAGCCATGTTTTCTTGTGCGTAAGAAGTTTTTGCTAGATGTGCACCTCTTGTTGGCTGTATGAAAATGTAGTCTTATTTG